AGGATCATTGAAAAACAGGCTGTTGGCCAGATCTGGCCTTTGGGCTAGTATACTGATCTCTGGGTAAAGCAGTTAAGAGCATGGACTCTGGAACCACAGTTACTAGACTCAAATCCCAGTTCTACTACATATTAGCTGTGTGACCTGGGCCAAATCCCTTAACATCTGGTCTGCAATTTCCTTATCTGCAAAATGATAATAATGATATTACCTACCCCAGTGGAGATTAGGTAAGTTAGTAAATGTAAACTACTTAGATCACTGTTTAGAGTATAAGTGTTAGCTTTTCTATGAGGAGTGTAATTTCCTCACAAAAGATTTGTAGGAACTTTTATAGACTAGATATTCCACAGCTCTCTCACATTTGTGCCATGCCAGCAGAATGTTGTGTTTGTTTCATTGTCCATCTTTCCTTCACATGATACAGAAGATAATGATCTAACCTCATTTATTTTCAGTTTTTGACATATAATTGACAAAATTGTAAGATACAGTTGGCTGTCCATATCCAAGCATTCCATATCCAAGCATTCCACATCTATGCATTGAACCAACCATGAATTGAAAATATTTGAAAAACAGATTCTGGAAAGTTCCAAAAAGCAAAACTTGAATTTGCTGCATGCCAGTACTATTTACATACCATTTACATTGTATTTATAACTATTTACATAGTATTTTCACTGTAGTAGGTATTATTTAATCTAGAGTTGGATTAAATTATATGGGAGGGTGTCCATAAGTTATATGCAAGTAATACCCTATTTTATATAAAGGATTTCAGTATCTGACATGGATCCTGGAACACTTTTAGGAAATTTGGTCCTGTCCAAAACATCCATTGAGACATTTGGTCCATGATTCATGAAATAATGCAAACATTTAACTTCATCAAAAATTTGTTGTTTTTGTTGTATGCAATTCATGATGGATTTTGGATTTCACATTTATTCTTCCTTGTCATAAAGTCTGGCAGGGTTACTCTTAGGTTAATGTTCAATTGCTCTTGAGTATGTATTGACCTGATTATTGGTTTTGTATTCATTATACCTGCTAACAATTTTGGTTACATGATTTTGATTTTGTTAATTTCACTGTGAAGTTGGGGTGGCCATCTTTGAATGTGACCACCAAGAACTGGGTGATAACTTGTTCACTGCTTTGCTATTCATCCTTTAACACTTAAGCAGATATCCAAATTGAAAGATGATGCACTACCATCAGCTTTTGAAATTTGTTATGCCAACCTTTCACTGTGTTGCTTGTCCTCTGATCACCATTTAGTACTGAGTTATAGACATTCCAAGTTTCTGATGGAAATCTTGCAGCTTCTAGTGTTCTGCTTCTGCCATTCTTTCCATGGACATACACTCTCTCAACTTAATCCATTAGGTATCTAAATTTTCTTTTGCATTCTCCCCAGGGAATGCAAAAAGTGTCCTTTAAAACATGGATGTACACTTACGTGGTGGTGATTTAGTCGCTAAGTCATGTCCAACTCTTGCAACCCCATGGACTGTAGCCCACCAAGCTCCTCTGTCCATGGGATTTTCCAGGCAAGAATACTGGAGTGGATTGCCATTTCCTTCTCCAGGGAGTCTTCCCAACCCAGGAATCAAACCCGGGTCTCCTGCATTGCAGGCAGATTTTACCGACTGAGCTATGAGGGAAGCCCATACACTTATACATGTTACTTTCCATTGTTATATACTGGAGTAACATCTGGAGTAGGAAGGGATCCTGCACTCAAGTACAGAATTCCTTCAGGTGGACACGGTGGTAATTAATCTACAGTAACAGGCAGGCAGCAGAGAGCTACATGGGTGGATGTGGTAGTGGAAATCTTTGGTGGTGGGAGTCTCCACTTCCCTTTTTTTAGTGAAGTAGGAAGCAAGAAGGGGGAGGTGGTGAAAAGGATTAAAAAGAGAAGATGAGGTGTGAAATACTCATTTAGAATAATAGCATAGATCAGGCAAAGTTAGAATTATTAAAGTGAGGGTAGTCAGCATGGTTCTGGGTTTTCCTCCAGTTATGTTTATATGCATTGCTGCAGCATGGAATAGATGGGCAATTGGGTTTATCCAGGGCTTTCAATTTACCAAGCAGGAATGATGAGGTGACAGGGAGGTGAGGTTGAGGATGCAAGACACTGATTATCATGATTAACCATGGACTTGAAACTAGTTTACTAGGGAGGGAGAAGTCATAGGGAGTAAGTTAGTACTATATGGGTTGGAGATACGGGTTGGGTCAAGATGTCTTGACTCAGGGCATTAGATGGAGTGAACTGTAAAGAAAGCAAGTCGGAGTTAGAGTCGGATGCTTCTGGGGGCTCCAGTCCTTAGACAGGACAAAGTCCAGGAAGGGTACCATCTTAGGGAACGTGAAAGCTTGAAGTAAGGCAGAGGATAAAAGTGTCATTCATGGAGCCAAGAGGTCATTGGAAGGATTAGAATGTATATACTGAAATTTCCAAGAAGCGAAGGGAACAGTGCTGCACGATATCACAAAATTATAACCTCTTCACAGATAAGGGAACTGTGTGCCCTGTACAGTAGCCTCCGAAGCACAGCACAGAGGATATAGAGTTCAAAGAGTGAATACCTGTGGGATGCTGAGGGTGAAAAGCATAGGTGAGCCTAGTTTTAGGAGGTAGAAGAACTGAGCTTCGGGTGCCTTGGTGGGATCATACTGAAACGAAAATCTCCAGGAGGGAAATTTAAATTCTGAAAATGTACCTAGCATTGTTGGTACTAGAGCATCCCAGATCACCTGAGAGGTGGAAATGGGCAGAGCCCTGGGCGGGGGAGTTGTTCCCCAAGAAAAAGGCAAGAAGTCGTTCCCCCCGCCCACCCCAGGCAAAAGCTCCGCTTTCAGGAACAGAAAATGGCCAAAGAATTTCATGCTGGGGCAGAGTGTCCTTGCTCTTAAAAGTCTGTTGGTCTCCGCAAAAGAGGGTCCTAACACTAAAAGCGTCCTCCAGCTCTGTCATCTTTAAGGATGAGCAACCAGTGCACACGTACCAACCTGCGCGACTCCCAGTGGAGTGCTAGTCCGTTTGGCCAGTTGGAGGATGCAGTACCTGGGGCTTTCGAAGTGGATGGGCTCAGTGACTCCGGTGTGACTAGGACAAATGTGTCATGTCTAGCTTTAGTCCCGAACCAGGGAACGGGTACCGTGCCGCACCATCACCACGGCCTCGGGGCGAACCTGGGCGTGTGCGGCGCCAGAGGGCTCTCAGGCTCTTAGCAGCAGCGCGCGTGGGGCTGCGGAGCCGGGCGGGGCGAGGAGGGATTGGGCTGCGGAGCGGGGCGGGGCGGGGCTCGGCTCCGGGTAAAGCGCACAGCGCAGTCTTTGCCAACATCTTCACTCAGCCAATCACGAGCCTTCCTTCTGGCTTTCCTCAGAAAGTCTTCCTCCCGCTGCTCTTTTTCTTTTGCCTCCTTGTTTCCCGCCGGCATGTAGAGTCCGCTGGTAGGTTACGTTTCCGCTTCCGGCGCTGTCCATGCGGGCCTGAGGAAGAGTAGCAGTTGGGACCCCGGTAACGGCCGCGGACTGGGGGCAGAGGCGGCAGTCTGGTCTCCCGGGCTGGGGCTCTAAGAGAGTCGCGAGTCGCGCGCGCGGTAAGGTCCTCCCTCGGTTCTTCTGGACAGTCTGCTCCTGAGGAGCGTCTCTTGCGCGGGGCAGACATAGTTCGTACCTGCCAGAGAAGTGTTGAATGAAATTCACTCAGAGAGCCAGGCCCGGGGGGGAAGGTGGCCGGGAGAGGTGAGAGGTCGTTTCATAGCTGGGTAATCCTAGCAGTGACTTAGACCTGAGCCAGATCTGTTGACTCCAAATTGTGCTTTTCTCACCACTCCCACGCCGCCACGCCCCACCCAACCGTAAGAAGGAGAAAGCCATCCGTACAAGTTCGGAACCAAAATATATTCATAGTAGAGAGGAAAAATAATGTCTCTGAAATTCTTCACCTGTTTAGTCAAAGCTTTCCTAGAATCCAGCTCTCCTAACTCCCGGCCAGTGTTTGTCTGGGTGGTGGTTTTTTTTTTACATTATGTTGGTATATGTGCCCTTTCTGTTTCCTCTGGTGAGTGTCTGTGGGAAGTCTCTGACTGACCGCCAACAATTGTGCAGACTTCTGATGTCCCTATAGACTGTCACAGAGCATGGGTTTGGGTTTCCTCCACTAGTTTAGATCTTAGCTGTAGTCGTCTCCGTGTACAATGCCTAGCTTATTATAGGCCGATGCAAATATTTATTAAACTGAAATAAATTTAGTACCTTATTGAATTAAGTAACCCCCCCACTTTTTTTCCCCAAGCAAGTGCGCAGATTGTATGCGACCTGATTTTCTAAAAAACTCTTCAGTCTGGTGGTTCCTAATTTATGGGCCATGAATTCCTGGGACTCGCAGAAATCATTGTAAGGGTTTCTGCAAACCTATGTGGTGTCAGCAGGGAGATATTGCCGTTTTTTAAAATATATATACATGTATTAGAACTTAAAAAATTTTGCATATTCAGCAATTGCTAAATGTAACACTGCTATTATGTTGGAAGATTATAAAATGATTTTATTTTCCAAAATAAAAATATCTAAATGTGAAAGCCATTTCATTAATCCAGTTGATTTTTAAGGCTGAGTTTATAGGGTAACCACTAGTCACATGGGGCTATTTAAATTTAGAGTTGAATTAAGTAAAATTAAATAAAATTTAAAATTCAGTTTCACTAGTTCTTAATACCTACATGTGCCTGGCGGCTACTGTGTTGAAGAATACAGGATATTTAAGACAAAAGTAACCTAAGCAGAGGTAACCAATTTATAGAAAAAAGTGAAATCGGGGATAATATTAAGCAGTTTCCCCCCCCTGTTGAGTACCAGAGGTGGGAAATATATATCTTTTCATAAAGATTTAAATGAAATTTACTATTTTTCTCTGGGTTTTTATTTTTATTTTTTTGATTGTAAAATGCTTCTCTTGCCTCCATCCCACTCAGTATAGGTTAGAGTTACTTGTGAATTGGTAAAAGGCCACTATGGACGCTAAGGACCAGAAGAAACACAGAAAGAAAAACAGTGGGCCCAAAGCTGAAAAGAAGAAGAAACGGCATCTGCAAGATCTCCAGCTTGGTGATGAGGAAGATGCCCGGAAGAGAAACCCCAAAGCATTTGCAGTCCAGTCTGCTGTGCGGATGGCGAGATCCTTTCACAGGTGTGTTTAACTGGAGTCTAGTGGTTCTTCCATTTATTCTTTTTAAATAGTAGGAGCCTCTCCAGTTATTTGGGTTCATGAGTCTGTTCCAACTCTGAAGGACATGGAGGTACAGGCTATGTTTCTTGTACTGAAATATAAGAAGTCTTTCCTGTGGAAGCCACTTAGCCTCCAGCATCTGCATACAGATTGGCTTCTTTTGTCCAAGATAAAAGCTTAAGAATTTATAGAATTTGTAAATTTTAAACAATTTCTATGACAACAGGTACACTTGTGTTGTTTTCTGGATATCTTTCATATAATTACAGTGTGTTGTATTAAATAGCTTTCATTAATGAGTCCTTATTATAGGTATATTAAACATTATTGAATTAAATTCTTCTAATAGGAGAGCCAAAGCCGCCTCTTTTATTTATTATGGTACACTGCCTCCATGTTTGTCTCTTGTTTTCTTTTTAAAGTATTGAAGTCAGCTAATAAGGCAAACAGACTTAAGGTGTGTATGTTTTCAACTCTGTACTATTGAAGTCAGCCTGATATATATATATATATTTACTGAAGTGGTTATTTGGACTGGGACCAGAAGTTAACAATGTATAATTGTATTCACATATTGTCTGTTCTGCTCTCTTTAAAATCTTTGCTTCTAGGGAGAATGCCTTCTATATTGAAAGTGAGTTGTTTTTTTTTTTTTAAACACACAAATAGGACTCAGGATTTGAAGACAAAAAAGCATCACATTCCAGTGGTTGATCGAACTCCACTAGAGCCCCCACCAATAGTGGTGGTTGTGATGGGGCCTCCAAAAGTTGGAAAGAGCACTTTGATTCAGTGCCTCATTCGGAACTTTACCAGACAGAAGCTGACAGAGATCAGAGGCCCTGTAACAATCGTGTCAGGTAAGAGGTGCTGTCACAGCCCGGCGTGGCAAGTGTAGTCACCTGGGGGACATGCATGTCTGTGTTGAACACTTTCTTGGCTGGTAAATGTTAAAGTAATATTGTCACTTCATGTTACTGCTCTTATACTTTTATTGTGGCTGTAGCTTCAGAAAAGGATAGGTTCCCCAAGGTAATAATAATGTAAATGTATACCTTATTCTGACTGCTATATGGATTTGCAAGCTGTGCTCCTCTGAAAGGCTTGGCAGACTGGGGTGGGCTGGCTTGGTCATGGTGAGCACCTTCATTTAACAGATAGTGAGTACCTGCTATGCACCAGGCATAGCTCCTTGCTCTCATGAAGCCACATTCTTGTGGAAGTGAGAGTTTTTTCATTTCTTTTTCCTGTGAGAACTCATTTGCTCTGGGAAATGTTGACCTTTCTAAAGTCTGAGGGAAGATGAAACAAATTCCCATATGACAGTGGTAGAATCTGAAGTCTCTTCTGATAGCAATAATATATTTGGATTTAGGCTTTTCTTTTTCTTAAGGCATTCCCATGATTATGACTGATTTCTTTTAGTTTAATTTAAAAATAATGATTGCTACAGGAACTTTCTGTTGCATTATGTTTGAGGGTTTTTCCACTGTTGTGAGAACAGGGAAAACTTTAATAGAGATGGAAGTGTTAACCCACTTCTAAATATCATGATCATGGCCATCATGAAGCCTACTTATCTGCCCATCCAGTTGGAATTTTACCTGTTTGAGCACTTGATTCATAGGATAGACTTTTGATACTCTTTAAAAGTTAGAGAACATAGCAAGAAAACTAAGATGGAATTTGTTTGATTAGTTTTCTCCCATAAAAATGAATTTGTGATATACTCTTTTGAATGTATAAGGTGCGTAAAGCAGGTACAATTAAAAAATAATAACAATTAGAATTAACAGATTTTTTTCCAAGATTTTTTAAAAGTAAAATTTTCATTTTTTCACTTATAGGTAAAAAGCGCAGACTCACCATTATTGAATGTGACTGTGACATTAACATGATGATTGACTTGGCTAAAGTAGCAGATTTGGTAAGTCACTGGGGATAGCATGGGTTTCTGATGGGGACTTACTGCAGTGAGATAGGTTATTTATCACATGTTGAAGGAAAGAAAGGTTTAAGATTATAGAAAGAATGATGAGTATCATCAGGGATACAAAAGATATGTTTGAATTTGTGATGATAATGATAATTGTCATAATAAAAATAGAATGTGCATAATGAAACGTATTCCGAAATCTAAAGGTGGTAAACCACAGGTCAGAGAAAACCTTTAATGAATGTAGCTAGTAAAAGCTTATTGATGGGACTTCCTTGGTTTTCCAGTGGCTGAAACTCCCTGCTCCTAATGCAGGGGGTCCAGATTCAAATCCTGGTCAGGGAATTAGATTCCTCCATGATGCAACTGAAGATCCTGCGTGTTGCAGCTAAAACCTGGCACAACCAAATAAGTAAATGTATATATTTTTAAAGCTCATTAAGATATACATACATACATACAAGTTTATAATAATACCATTTCTTGGACCTTTGCTAACCGCTTCTACAAATTTAGCTCAGCTAATACCCCAGGATGCCTTTGAAGTAAGTAGGTATTATAACTCTAGTTTATATATGATGAAATTGAGGCTCCCAGAAATAAACAACTTGTCTCAGGATGGGACCTCTGTTCTTGGTTGTATCAGAAGCTCTGTTCTTAAATTATGATAAAATACGGATCTTTTTACTGTATTGGGTAAAAAAATCTCATGACAACTTCTGAGTATTTACAATAGAAAAATCTATGCTTTACTTAGCATATGGAAATTTTATAGCCTTGATTGCATTTATAGAAATGTTAATGTCTGTTAATTACCTTTAAAACTAGCAAAAATAAAGCCAAAGAGGAAAAAAATTAAACTATATTGATTAGTAAGTGTGGGTTGATAGATACCTTTTTTTTTTTAAAAAAATTTTTTGTTTAGCACCTCTGAAGAGCTATTTGGGACAAAGAGCTGCAGATTTTATCCTTTGGCCCAGGAACTCTCCTAAAACATAAAAGTAATTTAATATAGGTGTTACAGTTGTGCCATCTTAATATCAGAGAAATAAGTACCATTCAAATTTTGAATATGTAATGCTGCCATTAATAAAAATAAATGTTATTGCCAATACAAAATAGTATAAACTTATTAAATCTTGTGTATTTAAAGTGATTGAAATAGTTCAGCATGTCATTAGTTTCTCTTTTATGTAATGTACACCATATACTAATTTTAAAAGTATACACGTATTAAGAAAAATGCCTTTCATATACATATAAGATTTAAAAAGGAACACATGCCTTTGGTGAGAGATTCAAATTGCTATAGGGTATGCACAATGCATGATTTTTGCTTTCCTTTCTCTGACCCCTTATTCTCAGTCCCTCTCCAATATCTTTCCAGATATGTATAGAAACACACATACAACCCTTTTAAAGCTCACACTATTTATCATACATGCTGTTCTGTGCTTTGCTTTTTTTTTCACTTAGTATGTCTTGAAGGTGTAAAATAAGTACTATAGGGTTCAACCTCATTCTTTAAGTATCCAATTACGTAGATACTTAAACATTTATTGATTTATTTATTCCAGCTTAATTTGATTGCTCTGTTCTGGGTTGTCACAAACCCTCTGAAGTCACAGTGAAGGCACAGTGGTATATGGATTTGTGTGCACATGTATGAACATTGGAGGATTAATAGTGGCTTCACTTATCTTTAGTTGACAAAGGGAGTGCTCTTCTCTATCATGGTGATTCTCTAAATAATCATTTGATTTAGTCTGGAGCAGGAATTGGCAAGCTTTTTCTATAAAGGACAACATAGTAGATATCTTAGGCTTTGCGGGTCCCAGTTTCTGTTGTAGTTACTAAGTTGGCAGTTGGAGTGCAAGTGTAGTGTGGACAATATATAAACAAATCAACCTGGCTGCATTCCAGTAGAACTTTAGTTATAAAACAAGTGATAGGCCAGATTTGGCTCATGAGCCATCCTTTGGTGGTGGTCTATTTTGAGTAGCCTCCTTAAGAAATTGTGTCTTCTGTTTTTAGGTTTTGATGCTTATAGATGCCAGCTTTGGGTTTGAAATGGAAACATTTGAATTTCTAAACATCTGCCAAGTACATGGCTTTCCTAAAATCATGGGCGTTCTCACTCACCTGGATTCCTTCAAGCATAATAAGCAATTGAAGAAAACGAAGAAGCGACTAAAACATAGGTTCTGGACAGAGGTCTACCCGGTAGGAAGAGAATTAATTATTGAATATTAACACTGTAATCCTTTAAAAATAGAATAAGTAGGAGAGATTAACAAACATCTCTGCAGGATCACCTCCTTAGTTTCGTTAATATATCTGTTCACAGTCCCTGGAATATTGCCTTTAGATAGTCTTTGTTCTGGACTTCTTTCTGTGTCTCATTGGTCTCTGCATCCCTCCTGCACCAGGCAGTGTCTCGCTCTTAAGTATTTTGAATTTGTGATTTAATAGAATTTATCCAGAGTTTTTCCTTGTTGCGGGACCAGGAACTATAGTGCACACACACTGCCCCTCGTTCCTCTTCCCCATACTACTGTGTCCCATCCGTCATAGAATGTTTTCTGTGCCCAGGAACCTGTGTTCTTTATGTATCATACTCCAGACACATGCCACTGCTTAACTTGAAACTAAATATATTTGCAGTTCTGTCCCTACAAAGCCTTAACAATATGAATCCTGAAAGACGCCAGAGAAGTTCTGGAAGCGTTGGCACAGTGGGTTGCTAGAAGTCTCCCTTTCTTAGAATTGCTTCTTTGAAGGCCTTTATTTTGGTGCTGTATTGACAAGAATTTAATTTTTTGCTTTTCTTAATATTTAGGGTGCCAAGCTATTTTACCTTTCTGGAATGGTACACGGAGAATACCAAAACCAAGAAATTCACAATCTGGGCCGTTTTATTACAGTTATGAAGTTTAGGCCTCTTACGTGGCAAACTTCTCACCCTTATATCCTGGCAGACAGGTAAAAAGTGAATGTAAACTTTTTCCTTCCTGACTCATATAAAGCTAAAAAAGGTTAGCTTATTTTGTCTTAATTATTGAAAGTATGGAGAGAAGTATAGTTGATGGAAAATATCTACTGTTTTTGTACCATTACTTATAGATACAATGGCTTCAGGAGTAAAAAAAAAAAAGTATGAAAGGTTCAAAAAAATGTGAGGATTTTGAAGGCTATACTATGTGGGCCCCATCCTGCTGTTTGAGCCTTAATTCTCAGTGATGCTGTTTTTGGACTGTGGTGCTCCGGTCACTCCTATGTGCCGTGTGCTCTCCTTTCTTTGTGCTTTTTTCATATTTTTTTATCAACCTGGAATACCCTTTCTCCACCTACCAAAATCTAAGCCACACTAAAAAACCCAGATCAAAGCTTATCTTCTCCCTTAAAGGGTTTTTCTGGATGTGTTCTCTACTTTTCCTTAACCCCGGGTGCATGTCGTTTCCCATTTCTGGTGTCTTACTTAAGGAATGTGGATACTGTAGAGCCTAAGAGCGATATAGTCAGGTGTTGCTTCTTTTTCTCTAGTAGATGGTGAACTCTGCTCCCTTATTTTTGTATTTTCTATACTTTTCTAAATAATATGTGTAGGGAATTACTGAATGTGAGAATCATTGAAATGTGAAGAGAGTTATAAGAACTCTGACATTCATTTCTGCCATATAAAATTGGTTTGTTTTTCTAGGATGGAAGATTTGACAAACCCAGAAGACATTCGAACAAATACCAAGTGTGACCGGAAGGTTTCTCTTTATGGTTATTTAAGGGGAGCACACTTGAAAAACAAAAGCCAAGTTCACATACCAGGTATCCTTTTGCTATAAAATATATTTGTAGAACTCTTGGCATCACTTCAGTTCTCAGCTCAATGACTCAGTCATGTCCAACTCTTTGCGACCCCATGGACTGCTGCTCGCCAGGCTTCCCTGTCCATCACCAACTCCTGGAGCTTGTTCAAACTCATGTCCATTGAGTTGGTGTTGCCATCCAACCATCTCATCCTCTGTCGTCCCCTTTTCCTCCTGCGTTTAATCTTTCCCATCATCAGGGTCTTTTCCAATGAGTCAGTTCTTCACATCAGGTGGCCAAAGTATTATAGCTTCAGCTTCAGCATCAGTCCTTCCAATGAATATTCAGGACTGATTTCCTTTAGAATGGACTGGTTGGAACTCCTTGCAGTCCAAGGGACTCTCAAGAGTCTTCTCCAACACCACAGTTCAAAAGCATCAGTTCTTAGGAAAACTGGAAAATGGCCAAACAAGATAAAGCCATCTTGCTGAAATTTTAAGAGTAACTCAGCTCTATATTGGTCACCAGAGGTGTTGAGTTGACCAAATTTCCTCTACTCTGATAGTGTTGTTTAGCTGTACAGGCACAGTGCTAGTGTCAGGCTCTGCCCTTGTGGTTGAAGCCTTCTATGCATGTCATTTCTGCCACCAGTCACTTGTCAGCAAACACCATCTTTCTGTGTCTGTCTTCCAGGTGTAGGAGATTTTGCTGTGAGTGATGTCAGTTTCCTCCCAGACCCTTGTGCACTGCCTGAACAACAAAAGAAGCGCTGTTTAAATGAGAAGGAGAAGTTGGTGTATGCACCTCTCTCTGGAGTTGGTGGTGTGCTGTATGACAAAGATGCTGTCTATGTGGACCTTGGGGGCAGCCATGGCTTCCAGGAATCGGTGAGAGGGAAGCCATGGGAAGTAATGTAGTCAGTTTTTATTTAACGAAGCTTTTTATCTTTAAAATAATGTATGGTAAAGGCCACAGTGCATGTTGTAAATGTTCAGAATATGTAAGTACAACAAGCAGAAAGGGAGAGTCATGTCCTCCATACATCCCCGCTGCCAAGACACACCAGGGATCCCATGTGTGAGCTTTGGAAGTGTGAGCTTTGGAAGCAATTTGGTGCCTGTACTTCCCATTTCTCCAGCTCTCTTTGGTCATTCTCTTTTCTTTCTGTTTTTCTCTAAACATATACACATTTACTTAAATTATATTCTAGATTATTATATATTATATGCAGATATCATATACATAGTATTTGTGTGTTAGACAGAGATAGTATTTGTTACATGCTGACTGTAAATGCTTTTGCAACTTCTGGGGAGCACCTCAGAATATGTGAATCTGGTTTTCCCTGTATTTGCTTCAGGCTTTTAATAGCCATGTTGTCTTTCATTGTATAGATAAACTTTATTTACTGAACCAATCATTGGAGGACTATGGGGCTCAGTCCCAGTGTCCCCTGGTTTGAGCAGTTGAGTGCTATAGTGAGTGCCCTCACACATGCAGCTTTGCTCACTGGGAGGGATCTTGTTATGTGGTAAATTCCTTGAAGTGCAATGTTTATATCAGAAGATAACACATTTTTTAAAAACTATACTCCAAATTTTTATTTCTTGGACTGCTCTGAAATGAGATTTTTCTGTAATTGCTTTCTGTAGCATTGGCAACACAGTATTCAGGTTATCAGATAGTTTACTCCATGAACTTTAGAAGAGTTTAATGAGGACAGAGATCAGTTGTAGGCCTTGTTGTAGGAATTCTTTTTTGTTTGTTTGAGGCAGTAAGAAAGGTTCTCAGAAACTGTGTTTAAGGTAATTTTGAGAAACTGATTGAAACCAGTGTGTTTTTCTTCAGAATCCTTGTGCATTCCTCACTTTCCCTTTCTTGGTGGCCTTGACAGGAAGAGGTGAGGCCCACTCATGAACTGGTTCAGAGTCTCATTTCCACCCATGCCACTATTGACGCCAAGATGGCTTCAAGTAGAGTGACACTGTTTNAAACGGCAAAAACTTGAGATGGAAGAAGACTTTGAGGTGGATTTGCCAGCGTTTGCAGACAGTGATGATGACCTTGAAAGGAGCTCAGTGGAAGAAGAAGCAGAGGAAGCTGATGAAAGCAGTGAAGAAGAGGATTCCACTGCAGAGGAAGAGAGGGATATTTTAGAATCTAAGGCTATTAGAGAAGGTGGTAAGCCAGAACTGTTACATACTGATGAGTCAAGTGATAGTTTGAATGTGGAGAAGTCTTTGACAAGGAAAAAAGCAACTTTCACCACTTCAGATTCAGGTCATTGCACAGCTGAAGAGGCTTTTGCATCTGAAGATGAACCTGAAGAAAATTCCTCTCTCAGTACAGAGGAGGAGGATTCAGAAAATGAAGAGGCTATTAGGAAAAAGTTTCCAAAGCCTTCTCAAGTGGTCAGTTGTCAGAAACTGGGGTCAGAGAACTTAATTGATGAGACCAGTGATGTAGAAGACTTACTCAAAGAAGAAGATTATAAGGAAGAAAATAACTATTCCACAGACACTTCAGGTATGCTTAAATTTATTTAACTGCCATTGTAAACTTGGCACTGAAAGGGTTCTACAGATAGAATGTCTACATTTGAGTTTCTGCTGTTTTGGAGATTTTGTTAACTGTTCAAATATTATAACTGATAAAAGGTTTTCAGGATGAATGAGCAATGAGCTTGAATCATAGGGGACAGATAAACAGATTTAACTGATGTCTGTGTTGTCCTTTCAGGTGCCCTCAAGTGGAAGGAAGACCTTTCCAGGAAGGCAGCTGAGGCCTTTCTGAGGCAACAGCAAACAACTCCAAACCTTCGAAAGCTTATTTATGGGACAGGTAAAAGAGCTCATTTTAATTTCTTAAACTGTTTTCTGAAAAGGAGATTGGTTAAGAGGATTTCTGTCATACTTTTGACATCCATAACATATTCCCGGCTGTCATATTTTATGCTTGGCAGATGTTTTTAATCATCAGCTGATGAGGACTGTAAATCAGTCATACAAAGTAGATTTATGGGTTGGCCATAAAACAAAACTTTTGATAAGAATACTCTTATGTTATGTCATTTTGTACCCCCTGTAGAAAATCCTTCATGGGAATTTTTTTGTAGAATTTAGTATCAGAAAAAATTCTGCCTCTAAAGGTGTTTTCTCCTCTCTGAGAATGAGTGTTCTGTGTAACTCATTCTGTTTTTTCCTTTTACCCTGCTCTGATTTTATATTTTACTGATTTGTATATATATTCTTTGTGGAAAGAGCTTGACTCAGTAATGCAAAAGACAAAGTGGTGAACCTGATATTGCAGTCCCTATTTACTATATGATTAGAACAAAGCGAAGGAGTATATGTGACCTAGGAGCTTTGAATTGGATTGGTGTTTAATGATTTCTGTTCAGGTTTTGCCTGAGTAATCTTAGTGATTAGAGACTCAACACTCTTCAAGAGAAACTCTTTATGATAGTTGAAAGCTCTGTCTTTAAACATCCCCTCCCTGCCCCAACCCTCAGTATTCTCCCTCCAGACTACATGCTGAGCAGTAGTTTCCTGGCCTTTCTGTGTCTGTGGCTGATGTGCTTAGGGGCATCACCATATCTACCGCAAAGAGGGAACCTCAGTGCCAAGTCCTCTAGTGGGTAGATTTGTTCTCACTTTTCTATCATGGTGATTTCTTTAGTGACAGAGGATAATGAAGAGGAAGATGGTGATAATGGGGAAGAGCTTGGAGGATTGTTTCGTGTCAGCCAGCCTGCCAGCGAGTGTAAACACAAGGCTGACTCTTTGGACTGCTCCAGATTTCATGTAGAGGCGCCCCATGATTGGGATTTAGAGGAGGTAAGGCTGAATATGAATAGCATATTTGACTTACAGGAGAATTCAGGAATTGTTCTAAAAGATTATATAATTTCAAAATTGCCTACCTGTTATTAGGCTTATTTTTATAACATAACAGGGCATTTCTCCAGATATTGGAATGAGTGTTTCATGCATCCTGAGCAATAATATGTTCTGAGTATAATCAGACCATATGCATGTGTTATGGAACAAAGGAGAATGGTTAGCTCTTAGTGTGGATAGTATTATTAATCTTTATTTTGAAGTGTTGCATGTAGGTTTTCATACATGTTTTGTGTTTTATAACTAGGAGATGTATAGTATCCCTGAGTTAACATTTAGAATTTCTACTATTTGTAAGGAAACAGATATCCATAATACTGATAAATTTTAATCTCCCACTCATCACTCTCTAGTCACAGAATTCATTCAGTTCTCAGACTTTCAAGGTTTAATCCCATCTTAGACCTCTTGCCCTCTATGTTCTGGAATATTCTTCTGACCTTTCCGTGGCTGGCTTCTTTTGATCATTCAGTTTAGTTGAAATGTTAGGGAGGGCCAGTCACTGTCAATTATCTGTTTTAATTCATTTTACATAATCCTTTTTTTGGGGGGGGGGGCAAAATTTAACACAGATTATAGAAAAGCCTCATAAAGTAATTGTTTGACTTAATGGCTGGCTGGGTGAGTACCTCTGTGACCACCGTGTGTCCATCCTAGTCACAGTCCACTCTTCTCTGCAGAAGAGAGGTGATAAAATGATCTGCAGAGAACCATCCTATGTTGCTACTTGTGGCTATTGAGCACTTTAAATGTGGCTACTGAGACAGAAGAACTAAAATTTTAATTTTATTTGTTTTGTTTGATCTTAATTAGAATTTAAATAACCACATGTTGTAGCTACCCTCTGGACAGCACATCTCAGTGTGTTTTTGTTGTTGCTTGTTTAGTATCATATCTAAGAAACCATTGTCAAATCCAGAATCGTAAAAATTGACTCCTATGATTTTGTGTTAGAGTTTTATAGTTTAACTCCTACATTTAAGTCTTTGATACATTTTGAATTAATTTTTGAATTTGATATGAGATGAGCCCAACTTCATTCTTTTGCATGTGGATATCTAGTTGTCCTAGCCCCATCTATTGAAAAGTCTTTTTTTTTTTTGAAAAGTCTGTTCTTTCCTCCATTGACTTGTCCTAAAACCCTGGGTAGAAATCTCTTGACCGTAGATACATGGGTTTATTTGTGGGTTCTTAATTATATTCCATTTATCTATACAGCTATCCCTGTGCTAGTATCATAGTATTTTGATTATCATTTCATCCTAAGTTTTGAAATTAGGAAGTCAATCTCCTGACTTTGTTCTTTTTCAAGAATATTTTTTCTTTACTGCATCCTTTGGATTTTCTGTATGTCAAACTTTTCCATTTCTACAAAGAAACCTGCTGGGATTCTGATAAGAATTGCTCTCAATCTGTATTTTGGATAGTATCAATACCTTAACAATACTATCTTCTAATATGTTAACATAGGATGCCTTTCCATTTATTTAGATATTTTCTTTTAATAATGTTTTGTAGTTATCAGAGTATCAGCTTTGCACTTTTTTTGAATTTGTTCCTAGTGTTCTTTTTTAAAAAAATATTTATTTATTTGACTGCATCTGGTCTTAATTACAGCATGTAGGATCTTTGTTGTGGTGTGCAGGCTCTAGAGCACAAGGTCTCAGTGGTTGCAGCACTGATATTTTTTCTGTGGGTTCCACAGGGTTTTCCATACCACCTGCGAATAGAAATAGTTATTCTTTCTGAACTGGATTCCTTTTATTTAAATTTCTTGCCTAATGGCCCTGACTAGAACATTTAGTAGTGTTGGATAGAAGTGGTGAGAGGAGACATATTTATCTTACTCCTGATCTTAGAGGGAAAGTTTTCTCAGTCTTTCATTGTTAAGTATGATGTTAGCTGTGGGTTTTTTAAAGGATGCCCTTTATCAGATTTAGGAAGTTCCTGTCTAAGTTGTTGAGTGTTTTTTATCATGGAGTGTCTGTTTTTGAAAATTTGTTTGATCCCTGGTTTCCATAAGTCAGTTGCTAAGCTTCATGACAGCAAGGATCTGCCTAGAACCGTTTGTCATTCAGTGCCTGCAAAGCTTCTTGGCGTAGAACAGGTGTTCAGTAATAATTAGTAAGTAATTGTAGGCATGAAGGGATGAGTGAATGCACAGACATGCTTTTGCAACCATTGTAATCATACTAGCTTCAGGGCTACTTTTTCTTTTTTTTGGAGGGCACCACTCCATGTGGCATGTGGGATCTTAGTTACTTGACCAAGGATTGAACCTGTACCCCTTGCAGTGGAAATGCAGAGTCTTGACCACTGAAACACCAGGGAAGTCCCCCAAGGCTACTCTTAGAGAGTGAGATTATATATGAAAAACATGAACCATAATCAGAATGTTATCATGTGAAGATTTGAGCCCTTGGCAGTGAGGGACGTGTTCTGTCTTAGGTCAGGTTCCCTAGGAAGCACTCTGAAACACAGAGTTGTATACAAGTTTTAGTCTATATTTGAGAACTGCACCTCGCATCCACTACATGCATATACTGGATGATCTAGCTAGCAGATCTGGGACTGGGAGCCTCAGTACTTCTTTGCAGTGTTGTATTCATACAAGACATTTTGTCTTTGTTAAGAGTATTAGCTAAAGGAATTAAGTTTTCAAACAGTCACGATAAGTACAGATTAATGAATTGTTAAATGTCTGACTGTTTACTTATGAAGTCACTAGGCAGATAGTATTTCCCTATCCACTGTTAATGCTATGATACTTGTTTTTATCTCTGTTATTATACTATGTACGTCAAAGTTTGGAATGAAAATATCCATAGAATTAAAATGAATATATCTATAGAAGTATCTTGAAAAATATTTAAAGGCAAATTGTCAGCTACTTCTAAAAGCAGTTATTTATTGAATGATTGGAGCCTGTCAACTGAGTGCTGACTTTTCTGTATAAGGTTATGAACAGTATCAGAGATTGCTTCGTGACTGGGAAGTGGGAAGAGGATAAAGATGCAGCCAAGCTCTTAGCAGAAGATGGTAAGTCCTGTATTCTTCAGAGAAGACTGCCTTCTCTATATCTTATTTTCTTCCATATCTTTAATAGTCAAGTTGAGATACTAGTCAGTTGTGAAATGCTTTGGGCATCTCCTTTGCTTGGTTCTGCCTGGATGCATATTGCGTCTAAGGTGGAAGAGGAAAGTCTCATGCCCAGTGGAATTTCCCCTTGCTGATAACCCCTGGGCACCTGGTGTGTCTCGGTGGAGGAAAGGAGATTCAAGCTCTTTGGGAAAGTGAGCACTTTCCTTCATCACTTACTTTCAGTGGCATTCCTGACTTACCTGGATTGCCAATGAGATCTGGTTCAGTCTGAGGCAAGAGTGACCCTATCTGGGCTGCCTTCTCTTGCTGCTTGGGGGTTGGGTAACACTGGCATTAAGTTGCTTTTCTGTGGGTTGTGATATAGGGAGACACAGGCCACTGTGTCATTCCTCTGGTCCTGGGGACCCTCACCAACCCATCTTTGTCTTTTCACCTTTGAGGGTTCTCCTTTGGTTGTCCCTTGTGCTCTTGCATCATTTCTGGAGTTGATGGTTATACACAGGAGGAACAGAGGAAATATGTCTATACCATCTTTTCCAGACTAGAAAGCCTTGGTGATTATTTTCACTGTAACTGTGTATACAAGAGAATTAGAGTCTTCATGATACTGAATTGTCCTTTCCAAACACATGGTCATCTATTTATTCAGTAGATAATACTAATAATACCTTCTTCATTGAGCCATGTTGAAGAAGGTAGTTAAGGAACTTAACTTAGAGCAGTCCCTAGTATGTGAAGCACTTAAAAGCATCAGTTAAGGTTATTCCATGTGTCCTTTAAAAACCATATTAAAACTTTTAGCATTTTTAAAATGAAGTTCCAGTACATTTCTTGTTTAGATTAGTCCTAAGTATTTTATCCTTTTTTATTTTTATTACAAATGAAATCTTCGCATCTTTTGTATCTCTTCTGGTCCTTTTGCTTTTTGTCGCATGAAAATATTTTGATACCTTTCTAAATGATGCCTCCCAAAGTTTAACTTCTCTGTTTCTTTTAAGGGTAGGATCCATAACTAAACTTAGAGCTCTAAAAATGAATGAACGAACACTTCTTCTGGGCTTGACATCCTTTTGGATACTACTGTTACTCTCAATGCTGTGTTTTATGTAATCTAAGATTTTCGCTGGGCTTCCCTGGTGGCTCAGTGGTGAAGAATCCATCTGCTAATATAGGAGATTTGGTTTTGATCCCTGAGTTGAGAAGATCTCCTGGAGAAGGAAATGGCAACCCACTCCAGTATTCTTGCTGGGGAAATCCCATGGACAGAAGAGCCTTACGGGCTGCAGTCCATGGGTTCACAAAAGAGTCAGACACAACTTAGTGACTAAACAATAACACAACAACAAGATTTTCCCTAGGTATATCATATGGTTGTACTGTATTAATCTTATATTGAGACGCTTTCACATGTGCTGTATCATGACATGGACTTTCAAGTCACTCTTTGAACTTTTGGTTTGGGGACTAATGTACATGGCCATGCTTGCCACCTCTGTATGCTTCTCTACTCCAGAATATCTGTCACTAATCCTGGGAAAATAGCTCTTGGCTAAGTGGGATTTTGAAGTAAAATATGGAAAAGTGGATTAAATTAATTTACTTAACCTAAATAGGTGATGAAATACAAAATTTGACAGGAAAAAGAAGGCTCTGTAAATGCAGGATTCTTTAGGGGTGTGTAGCTATAAGAACAATGAAAATGAAGTTTGAGATGCAGAGCATATAGTGCACTCGGTGCTGGGTGGTGCTAGAGTGTCACATGCAGGGGAGTCATTTGAATGTTCTTTTCCCAGAGGAGCTCTATGGTGACTTTGAAGACCTGGAAACAGGGGACATGCACAAGGGAAAACCAGGCCCAGATACTCAGGTATGACTTGGCCATGGCTCACCCAGCGTCAGCCACTGGCCCTTCCTTGATCTGTGGTCAGTATGTTCTGCAGGAGGCCCCATATTGAGAAACACAAGTCTTGTTTATCTGTGTAGATTACAGACTGGATGAATTTCTTCCTAAAAGTGAAGAGGGTGAGAACAGACTAAAAATTGTTGATTTATTTGTTATCCTTGATTCCTTGAGTTTTTTTGAGTGATATTTATTATCTCCTCTTCTTGTTAGGATTCTTCAGTCATTGAAAGTTTTAGCTCCTGGGTCACTGTCTTTTGTCATCATTTTCCTCTTCTTACACTAAGTGCTGTTTTAAAAAAACTAATTCTCTGTTCTCCCTAATATTTTTTAGAACAGTTCCTGGGAACATTTGGGTTGGGGATACTTGCTCTTATTTTTATTCATGTTTGGCATTCCCNTCTTACACTAAGTGCTGTTTTAAAAAAACTAATTCTCTGTTCTCCCTAATATTTTTTAGAACAGTTCCTGGGAACATTTGGGTTGGGGATACTTGCTCTTATTTTTATTCATGTTTGGCATTCCCAACCATATTAAGGAATTGCAGTTAATCGTAATGCAGTTGTCTTAATGTCTCTTGTTGCAGTGCGTGTTACTTAGAGCCAAAGGCTTTGTTTTATTTTGTTTTCATGATGAGCATAGCTATGATTTTTGCAGCTCAAATAGAACTTTTAAAATCTGCCTTAATATTTAAAGAAAAGGTCTCCACAAATTTTCACAAAATGTACTCTTCTGGAAATTTAAGATTGAAGATGTGGAGGAAGAAGTTAAAGAAGAAATTGACCCCAGTGCAGAGGAAAGTGCCAAGGAAAAGCTTTTAGATAAAAAGAGAAAATTGAAAGAGATGTTTGATGCAGAATATGATGAAGGAGAAAGCACCTACTTTGATGACCTTAAAGGAGAAATGCAGAAACAAGCACAGGTGAGAAAACCCAGTTCCTGTCAGCCTCATCGTAGTAGTGATGAGAGTGTGTAGCTTTGTTTAGGTCTCTGCTCCCTGACCTGCATCTGGGCCTCTTGTTTGCACTCCTAGGTTAAGATGCAGATGGGTGTGTTTATTCATGCAGTCATCTAATTATTTCTCCAGTCAGACATTCATCAGAACTATATCAGTATTTTGTACCACGCATTATATGTTGAGGAAGCAGAAATGGCTGAGACATTGCCTCCATTTTTGAGGATCTCAAAGTGTAGTGATTTGAGACAGTGTGTTTATTTACATGCAGGCATTGTCTTAGTATTTTGATTACTGCTCCCTGGAGTGATAATTGAAAATTTTGAATGGGCATGTGATTCTTGGCCTTGTGTGGCTGATGCACATACCAGCGCTCTCCAGGGAAGAAAACCCTGGAGAAAAGAAGAGAAAAGAAACCCCCTTTGAAAACCCTCCTTAATCAGAGTTCAAAGGATACTTTGAATGTAAGGTCAGATACAGAGGTAAAGGGAGCATGTAGAATGCTGAAAGGGAGATGGTCTGGCTCTGCTGTCTGGGGTTGCTGAGCAGGCTGTTTGAGTTGATGAACTCTAAAGTTAGAGACACAAAGATGTGTACATAGTTGATGGTGAGTGTTTGAGTTATGCTTTCACAGATGGGGCCACCAAGAATTCCTGTAAACTGGAGCACACCTTAATATGTCTTAAGCAGATTAAATATATGATTTATTGGGGATTTTTCTGGTGGTCCAGTGGTTAAGAATCCATCTTCCAGTGCAGGGGTTGCAGGTTTGCTCCCTGGTCAGGGATCAAAAATCCCACATGCCACAGGGCAACTCAGCCTGAATGCTGCAACTAAGACCCAGTACAGCCATATAAATAAATATTTTTAAATGTATGTGACTTGTGAAGAGGCAGTTAAAGGGTTTGCTCAACCTGGGCCTTTATGTAGTCAAAGAAGTATGGTTAGTCATTAACAGTGATTCCTAGTGTTTACTGCCCTTTGATAGAAGTGACTAGGGAAGTGTAAGGCTAGTTCTATTTAAAATCACCTGGAACATTGTGGGTCATTTATAAAGAACTTTGAATGTGAAATGTATAAGGGGAAATAAAGCATTATATGTTGAGGAAGCAGAAATGGCTGAGACATTGCCTCCATTTTTGAGGATCTCAAAGTGTAGTGATTTGAGACAGTGTGTTTATTTACATGCAGGCATTGTCTTAGTATTTTGATTACTGCTCCCTGGAGTGATAATTGAAAATTTTGAATGGGCATGTGATTCTTGGCCTTGTGTGGCTGATGCACATACCAGCGCTCTCCAGGGAAGAAAACCCTGGAGAAAAGAAGAGAAAAGAAACCCCCTTTGAAAACCCTCCTTAATCAGAGTTCAAAGGATACTTTGAATGTAAGGTCAGATACAGAGGTAAAGGGAGCATGTAGAATGCTGAAAGGGAGATGGTCTGGCTCTGCTGTCTGGGGTTGCTGAGCAGGCTGTTTGAGTTGATGAACTCTAAAGTTAGAGACACAAAGATGTGTACATAGTTGATGGTGAGTGTTTGAGTTATGCTTTCACAGATGGGGCCACCAAGAATTCCTGTAAACTGGAGCACACCTTAATATGTCTTAAGCAGATTAAATATATGATTTATTGGGGATTTTTCTGGTGGTCCAGTGGTTAAGAATCCATCTTCCAGTGCAGGGGTTGCAGGTTTGCTCCCTGGTCAGGGATCAAAAATCCCACATGCCACAGGGCAACTCAGCCTGAATGCTGCAACTAAGACCCAGTACAGCCATATAAATAAATATTTTTAAATGTATGTGACTTGTGAAGAGGCAGTTAAAGGGTTTGCTCAACCTGGGCCTTTATGTAGTCAAAGAAGTATGGTTAGTCATTAACAGTGATTCCTAGTGTTTACTGCCCTTTGATAGAAGTGACTAGGGAAGTGTAAGGCTAGTTCTATTTAAAATCACCTGGAACATTGTGGGTCATTTATAAAGAACTTTGAATGTGAAATGTATAAGGGGAAATAAGGATGACTTACTGAAAGGATTGGGTTGTCCTAAGTAAAATAGGAAAGCCTTTCACTGATGTCAGTCTGCCAAGGAAGATGAAGTTGGGATTGGTTAAGTTTGAGATACTTTTCGGACAAGAGGAGTGTCAGGTGGTCAATGAGGAGAGCTGTTGGGGGCCAGGGACTGTGCTGTCCTTACAGCATCTGGTTGCTTTTTAAAGCTTTGAGATGGGTGGAGTGACCTGGGGAGTGAGTGTAGGGGAGGAGAGGAGAAGACTGAGACTGACACCAGGTCCTCTGGGGGCTGGGTGGAGAGGATGAAGCAGCAGTGGGGACCGAGCAGCATTCAGGAGATACAAGATCTAAGAGAACATGCGGTGCGCCGAAACCACTGTAGATGGAGGTGATAAATTGTTTCAGATCCTGCTGATGTATTAACTCTGGTGAAGGCAGAATTGACCACTAAACTGTGAGGCCTTTAGTGACTTTGACAAGCATTTCCATAGAGTGTTGGTTGAAGTCTAATTTTAGGGCATTTAAGAGGATAGGAGTGGCATAACTGGAAACAGCCTTTAGAACACATCTGTTACATTTTGCTTCAAAAATAAGTGGAGAAATGGGGCAATAGTTATAGGAAGTGAAGTCAAAATGTTTTAAGATGAGAGAAATAATAGGCAAGATTTGTTGGAATAAAGTTCAAGAGTACATGATCTAGGGTGCAAGTAAAGGTTGGGATTAAATTGAAGCATGGGTAGTCTCTTAACAGCTGCCTAGTAGAGCTTCCTGTGATAATGGAATGCCACATGTTGATACTTACCACTTGAAATATGGCTACTGTGTATGACTACACTTAAATTTTATGTAATTTTGATTAATTTCAATTTAAATAGCCGTGTGTTCCTACCATATTGAATAGTGCAGAGCTATAAGGCTGAATATGGGTATAAACCCTGGTAGAAGGGCTAATTGGAAGTTCTTTTAGATTGATTAAATTTTGAGTGAATTAGGAGACAGTCAACAGTTGAGAGTGGGGATGCAGAAGGAGGTATTGATTGATGAAAAGAGGAGACGTGTGAAATAATTGGAGAGTAAAAAGAGAATCTGTGGATGGAAAAGTTCAGGGTGTGTGTCAACCAGCATTAAGGGCTTCCTTCAGAGTTGTTTGTATTTGCTATACTATAGTTTGGAGCACCAGAGAAGACAGTTGGGACATATCCTCAGCAAACTGTAAAGATAAAACATGTATTATTTTTAACTAGGATAAAGCCTAAGTAATTCTGTATATGATTCCTTTATTTAGAAATTGGCTTTTTTTTTTTAATGTTAATCTTACATTTAGTAAAGATAACAGCTTTGTGGATTTTTAATTGTTTTCTTTTTTCCCCTCTCATATATATATAGCTTAACCGGGCAGAATTTGAAGATCAAGATGATGAAGCCAGAGTTCAGTATGAGGGTTTTCGACCTGGGATGTATGTCCGAATTGAGATAGAAAATGTCCCCTGTGAATTCGTGGTTAACTTTGATCCGCATTACCCAATTATTTTGGGTGGTCTGGGCAATAGTGAGGGCAATGTTGGATATGTACAGGTAGGTACCCTTTGCTGTGTACTTAACAGCTGAGGTTCTTTGGTCATACTTGAGGCAATAATCTTACCGAAATCTCTTCTCCCCTCAGATGCGTCTGAAGAAACATCGTTGGTATAAGAAAATCCTCAAGTCCCGAGATCCAATCATTTTTTCTGTAGGGTGGAGGAGGTTTCAGACCATCCCACTTTATTATATTGAAGACCACAATGGAAGACAGAGGCTTCTAAAATATACCCCACAGCATATGCATTGTGGAGCAACCTTTTGGGGTAAAAACACATTAGAATAGACTTGTTTATAGGTTAAATTTAGACCTTTTAGGATTTATCGTTGTAATTTTGCTTTTTTCCTTTCATGAAATCACAATTCATAAGATTTTTCTCATTTCTGGGGTTGGGGTATATATGTGAAACAGAATCCAGAATGTGTGGTTCACTGTATTTTTTATTTTTTCCTGTTTCCTTTAAGGTCCTATCACTCCACAGGGTACTGGGTTCTTGGCAATACAGTCTGTCAGTGGCAATATGGTAACTATCTTGGATGTTTTACTTTATAGATTGTGTTTGAGAAATAATGTCTTGATTATAGAATATGTACCTGAAACTTTAAGTTGAAAATACTCATTTTTGGTATTTATAGCCTTCAGGGAGTGGCAGCCCGCTCCAGTATTCCTGCTGGAAAATCCTATAGACAGAGGAGCCTGGCGGGCTAGAGTCTGTGGGGTTGCAAAGAGTCAGACATGACTGAGCGACTAACACAGTCTTCTCTTTGCTTTCTTTTTTTTTTTTTTCCAATTTATTTTTATTAGTTGGAGGCTAATTACTTTACATCATTACAGTAGTTTTTGTCATACATTGAAATGAATTAGCCATGGATTTACATGTATTCCCCCTGTGTCTTTTTAATAAGTCTGGTGTGGGAGCAGAGAAGAGGGAAGTAGAATTGTAGTGGTACTGATAATGTTTTGTATTTTTATGCTTTTATGGACATATTTTTCTAAAATTATTTTAAGCAGTGCTCACCACAAGCTAATCACTCTACTGGGTTCTGACGTCCACTGGATACCAGCTAGATATTAGACTATCACCTAGTAATGCTGCTTTAGCAAAGTATGTTCACACAGCCTTCATTTGACCAATCAGAGCAGGTTTTATTAGCCTCATTTAACAGCAAAGAACACAGGATAATGAGCAAATGTAATCTATCCTAAATGTTCAAAATTTAATTTTTCAGTCATTGTGGCCAAATTACATATTCCCTTTCATTTATCCATCTTTGTGAAACTGTGTTACTATGAAATCACCCTCAGTAAAATGCTCAAGATATCATCAGTTTGGCTTATGTGTATTATAGTTTCAGATAACTTTTGTTAAAATACTGGTTTGTATGTTCACATATTCTTTCCTTTTCTTAGGTGACTAAGTGAATTGCACTAAAGTAATTTATTGCATTACAGAGCAATGTTAGTTTTTCTCTTGCTGATATTATTCCTGTATTCAAATTTTGGGGGTTCCTTTTTAGCCTGACTTCCGGATAGCTGCCACAGGAGTTGTCCTTGACCTGGATAAATCTATAAAAATTGTAAAGAAATTAAAACTAACTGGTTTTCCATATAAAATTTTCAAGAACACTTCATTCATTAAGGTCTGTATATCTCTTTATATATTCAAATATTTTTAATGTATATATTGTTAAAGGAGGAATGAAATACTTCTCATTTAGGTCTAAGGTATAGTTCTAATGTTTTCAGAAAAGTATTTGAAATCTTTTATAAACTTGGTTTTTTATATTTTTAGTTTACTCCTTTATATTGTTCTCTGTGTTACTTAAATATGCTCAGAAATCTTAAGGTGACATAAAATAGAGATATTTAGTAATTAAGGCTATTAATTATTATTTCCCTGTGAGATTGTCACAGAGCCAATATTGAAAATATGTAATCTCATTCACTAGGTTTTGTTTCCTACCTTTTTGGTTTGTGTAGAGAGAGGGGAGAAATCATGGGTTTGTCAAACAGATCAGTAGAAAAATAGACAAAGTAGTTCTCAAAATACTTCATTGGCAGGGGTATGGAGAAACGGATGTTATGTCAAGCAGTATAACATGGGAGGGTAGTTTGAGCAACATTTACTGAAAATTTCATTAGTGGGGTGTTTCCATTAAAAATACAGAGTTAAGATGATCATAAAATGTTCTTAAGGTAATATGCAACCATCAGCATTCATTTGTCTAGCTTTCTTTATTTTCGGAGTGTGTGCACATAAGTAATAGGATATGAAATATAGTCCAGCCCTTTGAGACTATAGCAAAGGCCATCTAGGCTAGTTCAGCCAATAAACATCCATTTGTTCCTCTCTTCTACAAAGATAGCAGTAATGAGCATATTTATGAACCCACAATAGAGTCTTAATTAGTGTTATTTCAGGAAAAATAAAGTTGTATTCCTGTTGACCTACTAATTCTACTTTTGGGGGGAAATACATTTTGATTATTTTATCACCCTTCAATGAATTATTTTCTGTTTTTTAACCAAGGATATATTTATGAACTAAGAGGTAAAATATCTGACTTTGTGTCTATATATTGTTAAAATATGTATATTTATATATATAAATATACACCTATAGGGAATGTTTAATTCTGCCTTGGAAGTGGCCAAATTTGAAGGTGCTGTGATTCGAACAGTCAGTGGAATAAGGGGACAGATCAAGAAGGCACTCCGGGCTCCAGAAGGTGCTTTCCGGGCCACCTTTGAGGATAAATTGCTGATGAGTGGTAAATCTCCTTTGTGGTATATTCTTAACAGCATGTTACTGTTCAGTATTGATTTCTAGCCAGTGTGAATTATAGGTGGGAGTTTAGATCTTTTGAAACAGGAGTCGGTGGTCCACCACTTTGCTGGTGGTCCAGTGGTTAAGACTTTGCCTTCCAATGCAGTGAGTGTGGGTTCAGTCCCTGGTGGAGGAGCTAAGATCCCACATACCTCATGGCCAAGAAACCAAAACGTAAAACAGAAGTATATAGGTGGGAGTTTAGATCTTTTGAAACAGGAGTCGGTGGTCCACCACTTTGCTGGTGGTCCAGTGGTTAAGACTTCGCCTTCCAATGCAGTGAGTGTGGGTTCAGTCCCTGGTGGAGGAGCTAAGATCCCACATACCTCATGGCCAAGAAACCAAAACGTAAAACAGAAGTAATATTGTATCAAATTCAATTAAGATTTTAAAAATGGTACACATCAAAAGAAAAGAGAAACAGGAGTCAGCTGTAGTTCTCCCTGCTTGGAACATCTTGTGCACTGCATCCAGCCACAACCAGAAAACTTTTATGCTATTCAAAAGTAGTTCACTTGGCACAGTCTCTCTTCAAATACTATGCACCCAGCTAGAGAAGTTTGGAGTATTTTGTTTTTTTGTGTACTAAGATGGATATGAATCTTCTGAAAATGTTAATGTAAATACACTCTCTTTCCAGATATTGTCTTCATGCGAACTTGGTATCCTGTCTCCGTTCCAGCCTTCTATAACCCAGTAACATCTTTGCTAAAACCAGTTGGTGAGAAAGACACCTGGTCAGAAATGAGGACAACTGGTCAACTCCGGCTTGCCCATGGCATCAAACTAAAAGCCAATAAGGATTCTCTCTATAAGGTACAGTTGCGCATGTGTTCTGTAGATGCATGTCATTCAGAAGTTCGTGTGTAATGTCCTTTTGTGGTTTGAGTTTTCAAGTAGAAAGTCTAACATTAAACTGGAATGAATGTGTTTATGTTCATAGACTATTTTGGAAGGAACACAGGACAAGTGGTAAAAGTAGTTTTCTCTGGATTAGAATGGAGACTTTTCATTGTATATACCTCATTTGAACTATTTTTCTTTGCATTAAACACATATATTACTTTTAAAAACATTAATGTACTTATTCTCATCGAAACAATGTGAAAGGTTATTTTTGAAGATTTTAATAAACATTTTATTGAAGTGTTAACATACATACAGCTTCCCTGATAGCTCCATTGGTAAAGATCTGCCTGCAATGCAGAAGAGCCCGGTTCAATTCCTGGGTCGGCAAGATCCACTGGGAAAGGGATAGGCTACCCACGCCAGTATTCTTGGGCTTCGCTTGTGGCTTATCTGTAAAGAATCTGCCTGCAATGTGGGAGACCTGGGTTTGATCGCTGGGTTGGGAAGATCCCCTGGAGAAGGAAAAGGCTACCCACTCCAGTATTCTCGCCTGGAGAATTCCATGGACTACAGTCCATGGGGTCACAAAGAATCAGACACGACTGAGCTACTTTCACTTTCACTTTCAACATACATACAGAGATGTACACAAATAATAAGTGTATACAGCTCAATGAATTTGTTTTGTATTGTTTTTTTTAAATTGGAAGATAATTGCTTTACAGTGTTGTGTTGGTTTCTGCTGCACAGCATTGTGGATCAACCCTAAGTATACATAGGTCTCCTCCTCCTTCAACCTTCCTCCCATCTTCAACCCTATCCTACCCTTTAAATCTTAAATTCTCAGTCCCTGCCTGAATTCCCATTTTCATTCAGGTTTTAGTCTCTGAGAATGTCCATTATTTTGTTCACAGGTTAACAAGGCATTTGAAAAGATTTGTTTATGTTAATGGTGGATATTTAATTGTTTTGTAATAAGTAGGTAATTCAGGGTATTGCTTTATCATTCTGCTAGAAACAGTTTTCCAGGCATTAGTTTTTCTGTAAAATAGTTAATAAAATTTGAGTCATGTTGCCATGAATTGCTTTTAAAATATACTTGAGGACATAGTACCTGTTGTCCAGTTTGTGGAGCTTACTCATTTTTGAGAAGGATATTTCTCTGAATTCTTTCATTCTAAAATATTTTTGTTTTTAAACAGAGAATATTGAATATTATTGTGGGTGGTGTCTTTAACAATAAATTTAAAGATATTGCAGAAATATTCTCTATGTAGTCAACTTTAGTAAAGGTTTAGGGCAAAACTATCATCTTAACTACTTTTGAGGCAGCTAAGGATTTTGTTCATTTCAATTTAAGTATAGAATTTGGTTAACTTAAAAAAAAAGAATTTGGTTAACTTGAGAATTGAATGTAGAGAGAGTTTTGCTTTCATTTGTCATTTAAATCTCACTTTTCTCAATCAGCCTTTTATTAGAAACAGAGTAAACTTCTTAATGAGAATCAAGGGTGGGGGCACTTTGGCTCTTCATTGGAGGAAGAACTATATCCTTAAATCCAGAGAGGCTGATAGTCAAGATGAAAAGCTAGATTATTCTTGTCAGGCTAGAAACAGCCATTTCAGTCCCAAAGATAAGGCCTGAATTTGCCATTAACAGAAAGGTTGAATCTTTTCATCCAGTCTGTTAAGATCTCATTGCCCATACTGTAGGAATTTGCACAGTTGATTTCTTAGAAGAATTGTAAATATGTATTTTATATTTATTCTATATATTCCTTTGTTTTGCCTGTAGCTGTGCATGCTCATTGAAGCATTTGAAGTATTTGGTGGATGATTGAGTCCTCATTTCTCATGGTCAGCAAACTGTGGTATTACTGATTTGTAGAAAAATCAATCCATTGAGATTTCATGCAAATTTTAAGTGCGCATAGATCATAATTTAAATATGTCATAGTCTTTGTTTTCTTTTTCTTTTTCAGCCAATTGTGAGGCAAAAGAAACATTTTAATTCACTGCACATTCCAAAAGCCTTGCAGAAGGCCCTGCCATTTAAGAGCAAGCCCAAGACCCAGGCAAAGGCAGGCAAGACTCCGAAGGACAGAGTGAGACCAGCCGTCATACGGGAGCCTCAGGAAAGGAAGGTACTATCAATGCATGGCTTCCGGTACATTGCATTTAGATGTGAAAATCATGCTGTCAGTAACATACTTGGCGTTCTTACTGCATTCTCACTTTTCATGAGGAAAGGATAAGGGTCAGACTTATTCAGGGCACTAGATCTGGAAGTTAGAAGAAAAGCCAGAATCCATTTCCCTTCTTTTGTTTAGTCATGCTCTGCCTTATGCATTTTAATTGGAAATAAGAAGCACACAGCTGGCACATCACTCTATCTATGGATACAGAGTATCCATAGAGTGATTAACAAAGGTGGTTTTGTGGTCATGGCCATTATTTAAGTATTTTGCTAAGCCAGTATGCTCCTACTTATATTTCCATGCAAATTATAATTCCCTAGTTCAGGATCAGTTTTCACTAGATTAATATTCATTTGGATAATGAATTGATTCTCATTTTGATACAGTCAGCTGCAATGTTTAGGATTCCTTAAACTTAGAACGAAGACATGCTATAGCTGTAAGGATATTCTGATGCTCAGGAATATTCTGATTCCCTGTCAGATCCTTGCACTGCTGGATGCTCTGAGTACAGTGCACAGTGAGAAGATGAAGAAAGCCAAGGAGCAGCGGCATCTCCACAACAAAGAACACTTCAAAATGAAGCAGAAGGAGGAAGAAGAGAAACTGAAGCGACAGAAGGACCTCAGGAAGAAGTTCTACCGGATTCAGGGTCAGAAAGAAAGAAGAAATCAGAAGTCCAGCTTGAAGGGGCCTGAGGAGCAGTTGAAGTGAGCTGCAGACAGACAGACTGTCATTTGAATCTACAGTGATGAGTGTTTTCACATTGCAAATGACAAGTCAGGGGACTGGACAAGCCTCTTTGGTGCATTACACAGACTGTGCCTTTGAGAGGAGAAATGAGACTGCTCATAGGACACCTGTTCATTCTCAACATCTAGGTTATGGCAAAATAAAGCTACATAATTTATGGTTTTCTAGATCTCCTCACATTCCTCTTAACCTGTCTCAGTTTTATTTTGTGCTATGAAAGTATTAAAATATTTTCTTGTTAATTTTGGCTTAGTTTTCATTAAGGATGAATGCTTGATAGTTGCTTTTTCAGCCACATTCATGATGCGTTTTCCAGGAGGGAAAAAATGTTAACTTGAATCCTCAGCGTTAAGATAAAATTTTAGAGATGGATATGTAATTTTATGTCTTCATGTTTTGCAAGTTAGTGTTAGCTGTGCATTCTCAATCACTTCAGTCATGTCCAACTCTGTCACCCTATGGACGGTAACCCATAAGGCTCATCTGTTTGTGGGAATCTTCAGGCAAGAATACTGGAGTGCATTGCCATACCCTCCTCCAGAGGATCTTCCTGACTTACAGATCAAACCCGCATCTCTTATGCCTCCTGCATCGGCAGGCAGGTTCTTTACCACTAGTGCCACCTGGGAAGACAATAATAGCTAGTTAACACTAAATACTCATTTAATGCTTTAGACCAGGAATGATGTATATCTGTGGAGATAGTTAGGTATATTGTCTGAAGTTCATATTGGTTAACCCTCTAGGTCTAAAATACATAACTGAGAGACATCAACACCTACCTGGGAGTGAGCAGAATCATCTAGGGATAGGAAAGGATCAAGATGAAACAGCCAGGTCTTAGTGCAGTGTTCCTGTCATTAGCTAAGTGCCTCCACATACATCAAGTCCACATGTTCAGGCCAGCGCCAAAGAAGCCCAAGTGATCTTGCTAAGGCAGCCACTCGTCTAAAAGCTGAACAGGGCCAGCTAAGCAAGGCTGTGCACAGAAGCCAGACATGTAACTCACAACAACGAGGGCAGCCTGTCCTTGCCAGTGTCCTAGACTGCTACACGCAGACTTGACCATCACAGCGCTACATGCAGTGAGGGGCTCCTGGCTCTGCCACTGTTTATGATGTGACTCCAGAAGATGATGCTGTGAATGCGCTGCACTCAGTATGCCAGCAAATTGGGAAAATTCAGCAGTGGCCACGACTGGAAAGGTCAGTTTTCATTCCAATTTCAAAGAAGGGCAATGCCAAAGAATGTTCAAACTACCACATAATTGCACTCAACCCACACACTAGTAAAGTAATGCTCAAAATCCTCTAAGCCAGGCTTCAATAGTACATGAACTGTGAACTTCCAGATGTTCAAGCTGGACTTAGAAAAGCCAGAGGAACCAGAGATCAAATTGCCAACATCCATTGGATCCTCAAAAAAGCAGGAGAGTTCCAGAAAAACATCTGCTTTATTGACTATGCCAAAGCCTTTGACTGTGTGGATCACAGTAAACTGTGGAACATTCTTCATGAAATGGGAATCCAAACCCCCTGACCTGCTTCTTGAGAAATCTGTATGCAGGTCAGGAAACAACAGTTAGAACTGGACATGGAAAACAGACTGGTTCCAAATAGGAAAAGGAGTATGTCAAGGCTGTATATGGTCACCCTGCTTATTTAACTTAGATGCAGAGTACATCATGAGAAACACTGGGCTGGAAGAAGCACAAGCTGGAAGATTGGGAGAAATAGCAGTAGCCTCAGATATGCAGATGACCACCCTATGGCAGAAAGTGAAGAACAAAAGAACCTCTTGATGAAAGTGGAGTGTGATGAAAGAGGAGTGTGAAAAAGTTGGCTCAAAGCTCAGCATTCAGAAAACTAAGATCATGGCATCAGGTCCCATCACTTCATAGAAAATACATGGGGAAACAGTGAGAGACATTTTCTTGGGCTCCAAAATCACTGAAGCCATGACTGCAGCCATGAAATTAAAAGATGCTTGCTCCTTGGAAGAAAAGTTATGACCAACCTAGACAGCATATTAAAAAGCAGATTCATTACTTTGTCCACAAAGGTCCGTCTAGTCAAGGCTATAGTTTTTCCAGTAGTCATGTATGGATGTGAGAGTTGGACCGTAAAGAAAGCTGAGTGCTGAAGAATTGATGCTTTTGAACTGTGGTGTTGGAGAAGACTCTTGAGAGTCCCCTGGACTTCGAGGAGATCACACCAGTCCATCCTAAAGGAAATCAGTCCTGAATATTCATTGGAAGCACTGATGCTGAAGCTGAAACTGCAATACTTTGGCCACCTGATGCAAAGGACTGTCTCATTTGAAAAGACACTGATGTTAGGAAAGATTGAAGGTAGGAGGAAAAGGGGACGACAGAGGATGAGATAGTTGGATGGCATCACCGACTCAATGGACCCGAGTTTGAGTAAACTCTAGGAGTTGGTGATGGACAGGGAGGCCTGGCATGCTGCAGTCCATGGGGTCGCAAAGAGTCAGACACAGCTGAGCGACTGAACTGAACTGGGCAAATTCCCAAGTATCTCTGAGTTTCAAGTTTCTTATCTGTAATATGGGGGTGATAAACTAACCGTGCAGTTTGTGAGGCTTTAATGAGACCTAATGCAAAATGACTGGCACAGAACAGATTTTTAAATTTTTTATTTCTCCTGGCCCCATTTTAAAGAGTTGTATAGGGTCCAAGAGTTTTAACACTTACATAGATTTTTAACACATATCTATATGTTCATGTAACCACCACCACTGTCAAGATACCAAAGAGTCCCATCTCCAAAGCGCTTCCTCATGCTATGTAGCTCAAGCCTTACTCACTTCCAACCCCCGTTAACTGCTGATGAGTTTTTCATCACTACAACTTGTCATTTCAAGAATATGTAAGTAAAACAACAGTATGTAATCTTTTGAAATTGGCATTATGTCTTTGAGACTCATCTTGATTGTCCTGTGTATCAATGGTGCATTCTTTTTGTTTACTAAATAGTTACCAGCTATACAGACAGACCACAGTTGGTTATCCATTCTCCAGTGAAAGGTACTGTGGTTGTTTCCAGTTTGGGGCAATTATGAATATAGCTGCTATAAATATCTGTATAGAGGTTTTTGTGTGAACATGTTTTCATTACTGCAGGGAAAAAAAATAACCCAGGAGAAGCACTTCTGGGTCATACAGTTTAAAAGAACTGTCAAACTGTTTTCTGGAGGGGCTATACCATTTTGCATTCCCACCAGCTAATGGATATGTAGTGGTATCTCACTGTGGTTTTAATTTGCATTTCCCTAATGACCAATAATGTGGAGCATCTTTTCATATGCTTACTTGCCTTTCATGTACTGTGTCTGTCCTCTCTGGTGAAGTTTATATTCAAATCTTTTGCCTACTATTTATTTGGATCATTATTGTTGATTTTGAGAGTTCTTTATATATTTTGGAAGAAGTCCTTTGTCACGTATGTGATTTGCTAATACTTTATCCTAGTCTACTGCAGTTTTTTCATTTTCTTAAGAATATCTTTAACAAAATTTAAAATATTTGTCCAGCCTAATTTATTAATTTTCTCTTTTATGGATTGTGCATTTGATGTCCTCACTAAGAATTCTTTTCCTAGCCCCAGGTCAAGAACATATTCTTGTATGTTTTCTTCTAAAAGCTTTATAGCCTTATGATTTTCATTTTGAGTTAATTTTTATATTAAGATGTGAGATTTAGATTGGAGTCCTATTTTTTTTAAGTTAAATTGTTCTAATACCATTTGTTGAAAGGCTATCCTTTCTCCATTTGAAATACCTTTGCATCTTTGTCAAAAATCAGTTGGGCATATTTGTGAGGGTATATTCTGGGCCCTATTCTCTTTCTTTGATTGATGTGTCTCACTTTGCCACAATATCTTGATTATTGTAGCTTTACATTAGGTCTGTAAATTGAGACGTGTGATTCCTCTAAATAGCTATTTTTTCAAAATTGTTGCTGCTGTTCTAGGCCCTTTCCCTTTATAAATTTTGATAAGCTTGCCTATGTTTACCAAAGAATCCTGCTATGATTTTGATGGCTTTTGATCTATAGATCAACTTGGGAAGAATTGACATCAGTATAGATTCCTCCAGTCCATGGCATATCTCTGTTTATTTAGGACTTTTTTTGGCTTCAAATTGTTCACTGCTAGGTTTTAGAAAAATGCTTGGTTTTTGTGTGTTGAACTTACATTCTGTGACTGTAATATGCCATTTAGTCTAGATCTTTTTGTGGGAAGGGGCAGATTTCTTGGGATTTTATACTTAGACTGTCATGTCTGCAAGTAGACAGGGCTTTTATTCCTTCCTTTGTAATGGCAAAACTGGTGTGTTGCAGTGGCTAGCACTTTCAGGATAATGTGAAATTGAAGTATTGAATGTGGACATCCTTGCTTTGGCTCCTTGTAGATGCTGTTTCTCAGTTTGAGGAAATTCCTTTCTATGCCTGGTTAGCTGGGAATCTTTATCATGAATAAATGTTATAAGGGATATGGTTCTGTAGAGTTCTTATGTCTGTTTGATTATGGTATCAGGGTAATGCTGGCCTTATAAGATGATTTGGAAAATGTTCCTTCTCCTTTTATATTCTTGAATTGAGGGTAGGATTGTTGTTATTTCTTCTTTAAATGTTTGGTAGAATTTGTCAGTGAGGGAATTCCTTAAACTCCATGCTACCAAGGCAGGGGAAATGGGTTCGATACCTGGTGGAGGAACTAAGATCCTGCAAGCCATGAACTGTGACCAGAAAGATTTTTTTTTTAATGTTCATTTAACAATGAATTTAATATATTTAATACTTATAGGACTACTCAGATTATTTCATCCTTAGTGAATTTTCATAGGTTATGAAATGGAATTGATTTATTTCACCTAGATTGTCAAATTTATGGGTATAGAGTTATTTGTGTGTCCCTTGTGTGTGTGTATGCTCATTCAGTTGTGTCTTGACTCTTTGTGACCCAAAGGACTGTAGCCCACCAGACTCCTCTGTCCATGGAATTCTCCAGGCAAGAGTACCGGAGTGGGTTGCCATTTCCTTCTCCAGGGGATCTTCCCTATCCAAGAATCAAATCCGCATCTCCTGCATTGGCAGGTGGATTCTTTACCACAGCACCACCTGGAAAGCCCCCTGTATGAATCCCTTACTATCCTTTTACTATCTTTTGGGTCTGTAGTGACATCACCTGTTTCATTCCTAATACTGGTAATTTGTGTCTTT